CGCCTCCTGCGTACAGCACAGCACCTGTACGTGGAACGCTTATTATGCCTGCGCACGCATAAATGCCATCCCGTCAACCTCCGCGTCCGGGGGCCGTACTTTCAAAACTAAGCTAAGTAAACGTAAGTACTTACGTTCTATTTTCTTGACTATGATTGCTGAATTTTGCTTGAAAGGCCGTCAATGATTGGCTGATGAACTTATGATCTCATAACTTTTTTTGAAAGTATGGGCCCGGAACGTGAAGCGGGAAAGCGACGGTCTATTGTGCCGCTCGTTTTGTCGTGCGCCCAATGCGCAGCTTCAATACGACAAAAAAATGCCTTTAGCATGCCAATTGCTTCAGTAGACGACGCAAGTAATTTCAATGAGAATTTTAATTACACATACTTTGCTGTTCAAGACCTAGATAAACGCAGCACGTACATGGTTGTAAGAACGGGAACAATGTCTTAAATGCTGTTTTCTTTGAGTGGTTCTTTTGGTTATTCTTAATGCATGATAAACATAAGATTGGTTCAGATATTTTACTTACTGTGGTAATAATTCATAGGTGATTTCATGTAGATAATAAAACTTAATTTCCGGACAAAATACAGCGCTTGGAAAGCAAAGATAGAAGGAAATCTCTGCTTACTATTTGGTATATTAAATAACTCATTCCTTCTATTTCCCTTTAAGCCCCATAAAAATGTGACGTGTTAACATGCTTGAGTAAAATGAGCCCTATGGGATATGAGTCAAGAAATTTCTTTCACTATTTGCTAAGCTTGCAGACAAACCTTTGTACTTTGACAAAACCTTTGTAAAAGGATCACAACTTGTGTAAAATTTTCAGGCATGGAGAATTAGACTATATCCAAATAACGAATCTTAATTATATCATGGACATTTAACACGTCCGTAATATTGCTCGGACGATAGCACAACCCTTACCGCGCATTTGTGGTTGGTCACTTAACTAAACATTTTTCAGTTCTCAGATCAGCCTGTTTCATCTAGATATTTGTAAAGGAGTCGTGCAGAAGAACGTGACTTATTATTCAGAAACAATTAATTAATAGACGTGGAACATCTCAGATACAACTATTAGCAGGTTAATTTCAAGATTTTTACTTTTAAGTGTGCTTTGGAACAAATACCGCAATAAGTTCAACTTGCTGATACCTTCAATCGCTGCTTCACGGCTCTCATGACTATGTCTATGATAAGAAGAAAATTTGAACCACTGTGCATAATTCATAGTATTCATCAAGAGCTATGGTTTCATCATATTATTCCCTGGGACTGTAAAGGCCACATCTGTCACTGCAGCAGTGTAGAGAGAGTCACAGACAATTGGCTTGCTGCTGCTAACAGCTCAGTTACGTCAAAGAATATCCATTACAAAACGCTGAATTTATGTCATTGTTACTTCTTTAATTGGATATATGTGATAATTCATTTAGATTCTGTTGGGCATTTTAGAAAGGTAATACAGCGACTCAGTGAAAGTAACAGTATGGTGTGAAATCAAGTCTTCCAGAACCTCCAGGCCACATTTTTTTTAAACAAGGTAATGTACATGTGGTAATTTTTCCTCACAGATTATCTTCTTGCCTCTGGGGCTGCCTTGATCTTCAGATCTAAGCGCCTCTGCCCTAAGGGTACAGATTGAAAAAAAAAACTCAAATAAAATTTAAATACTCACTGCAGTGAGTGACAGAAAGCGCATTTTCTCGTCGACTAAAACGTCAAGTCTCACGGATGGACGGACGGACAGACAGACGGACAGACGGACGGACAGACAGACGGACGGACATGACGAGTACAATAGGGCATTTCTTCCATAAATGAGAAAATGCGCTAAAAAGTCGGTAAGGAATGACTGATGCCTACAACAGTTAATTGAGTCGGAGCATCATTACGGAAATTAACGCTCTACAAGGGACGTAAAGGCACGTAATAATGATCAGCATCGCAGCACAGGCTCGAAAAAGTTCGGCCGATGCATTAGGTCATTTAAAATATATTGTACTCGTTACTGTAATTAATTCTATTTTTCCAGCTTTAAACACACATTATTATCGGTGTTTTTTGTTGATTTGCAGTAAATAGTTAACAGGACACAGGGAACATTTGTTCTCTAATAATAGGCATACCCAGTGACAATTAATACCTTCGTATGCACACTCATTCGGATCGTCTGTGCGTCATACAGCACGACTAGGATGCAGTATTAGTCAAATGAGAAAATAGTTATTGAACTTCAGATATGTAGGCAGCTTATGTATATTATTCTATTATTACTTCTGTATGTTATTATGACCTGGATGCCGCACTCCAGACCATTAGTACGGCCTCCTGGCCGACAAAGGACCTCTTTGACGTCGAATCCTTTTGTACAAATTTTCGAGATTCGGACATCAATGAATCACAGTAGCCGTGCACGAACTTGAGGTACACACTCATTATTCATACCATTTCACTGTCATTCATCTATATAGGGTTTTTACTTTCACGTATACGGACGTTCCTGACCTCAGTAATCACGAGAGATCGGGTCGCGGCAGCGCTTTATCTTACGGCACGACTGCCACGTCCAAAAGCTCAAGCCCGCTAACCGAGACAACGGGAAGTCGCTGTGGGACGCCAAAGTTCGTTACATGCACACACGCACAAGACAAAACTGTTCATAAGCCCGAACAGGTCGTGGCTCTCTTCGGGTGCATGTTGAAAGAGAAAGGGCTCAACCGGTGAAGATTTCGAACACCAACGCCATCTCGAAAACAATCGCCATTGCGATGGCGATGCCTGTCTACCAAACTGGTTCCTTGATTGATAGGCAATTAAATCCGACACAACATATTTTTTGTTAGCCCCCTAATGGTAAATGCGCTAAAAATAAGCCCGGGCGCGCCCAAGAGGACAATTGCTTTTCGAAAAGTCCACCGCGCGCTTTCTCCTGTATCGTGCGACGCGGGACATGCGGTGCCAGACAGGTCACTCGGTGCGCGCGTCTTCAGTCGTCCTGCAGGCCTGCTGGTGTCAGGTGGTGGGCAGCTGCTTGCGTTGTAGAAGTTTTGTATCAAGCGTGGAACGTTGCGCATGCTCTTGCATGTGAAGGATTGTACAATGATTGTTTATAACTTCGATGTAAATACTATGCGTAGTTAAGACTGGCTAACGACCTTCAATTGCAATTAACTTGCATCTAATATTTAGTTAAGAGCCAAGACTCTCGGGGGAATAATTATTCTATGGTCATTAGTTCTCTCCTGGAATATTACATAAATAAAAATTTGTAACTCGGTGATCACTGCAGTGAGTGACAGAGAGCGCATTTTCTCGTCGACGAAAACGTGAAGTCACGGACAGACGGACGGACGAACGGACAGACAGACGGACATGACGAGCACAATAGGGCATTTTTTCCATAAATGAGAAAATGCGCTAAAAATATTTGTCATAAACAATGCATAATCGCCAGCAAGGATGCCTTCTCTATTTCGTTTCTTTTTAACATGAGTAATTCGTAAATTTCGATTCATAGAAAGTATGAGATAAGAAGCAAGTCATGTTCCACAGAATAGAAACGGGATTATTAGTTATTTTTTGTTACCACCAATTGTTCAAAATGGAAGATCTGTGTCGCAGAACAATCTCGTTGAATGGATATCGATTACAGAGCAGACATGATTCGTCATCAGATTATATCCTGAAGCCTTCCATTATCTGCCCTAATGACTATGGGAGATTTTGAAAGCTGATGATGTCTGCAGCCATCATGTGTCGTCTATCACCAGCCATAATGGCTATTGACGCTCATTAAGAACATAGCTTATATACCATACTAGTTATTCGCTGTAGTCGTTTTCAAATTCCTATACAGATTCTCGCAATAATTTTGCTATCGCCAATGTTTTGTTTTAAAATTAGTGGCGACACCAATTTATAACCTGTCAGCTCTTTAGCGCATTTTCAAATTTATGAAAAAAAAACGCTATTGTGCCAGTCATGTCCGTCCGTCCGTCTGTCTGTGACCACGTTTTCGTCGATTTTAGGAAAATGCGCTCTCCGTCATTCACTGCAGTGAGTACTGAGTTATATTTTTTAAAACCGTTGGCAGCTCGACATTGTATCCATATTACGATTAAAAATTAGTTTTAAAAAATCGTATCAACCCGCTTACTTTCCCGAACTTTTTATTGGAATATCTCAGAGCTGCAATTGATTTGAATTTTACAATACTTCTCTTTAACTCCAGTTCTTGTTGTCTGTTTGTCGGCTACAAATTTTATAATCGATATTCAACACACTTCTTCCTATCCAAGCAATCCGAAATTTTGCACACTTGCGTAAAGTCGGAGACAACGCATGAAAAAATTTACAGAATAAATAATTTAAAAAATTAATTTATTTTAATATAAAGAAAATTTAAAAATAAATTTTTTCTTATAATTAAAAATAAAGAAATAAATTCATTGTACATTAGTAAAATCGGGGACACATGCTTCTTTAGAAGTGTTGTTTTAAAAAGTAATTTTTAAACGCATATTATTTTTCAATAATTTTGATAGTCGTTAATGACTTACGGTAATTTATAGCATATATCCAGTTAATATAAAAAATTTTAGCTCATTTTGAAAAACTTTTTGGACGACTTGCTATCCCCAGTAGTATCTATGTGGGGCTAGAAATCAACTCTGACGAACAAGCTTTGTGAGATCATCGTCTGTTCTTGGCTTCGCCATAGTAATTTTGCTTCGAAAACTTTCATTTCTATAATCTTGTTAACGAAAGTGGAGAAAGTGGCTTTCCACTGCGACTGGAGAATCACTCAGTTTCTGTATATTTTATGTACGATGTACGATAATAGTACAGATCCTACATACAGTCGAGGTTGACTCGGAAAGTTTTCTCTGTGCAATTCGAGTGGTTAATATTGGGCGTAACTCGAAACACCAGCTCGTAGGGCAGATTTATTCTTGGTCTTAATACATATGTTTGCACGTGTTTTCCAGACAATTTGAGTATCAACTTTGGCAACGATATTTTGAAAAATAAATATTTGTAGGACTTATTTTGTTGACACTCCTATTCTTGTGGGCAACGGCCTTTTTCCTATTTTGATAATTTTTATACGGTTCCTATTCTGCGCAATCTCTTGATCTCGATCAAGTATCGGGTCTTGGATCACTGAGGGACAAACACAAGGTAAATTAAATTACTCAATTTACTTTGTCATGTTCCTTGATAAGAAACCGTCGAAAAAATCTACTGTAAATTAAGATCATTTATTAATTACTAGTCACTTCTTAAGTACCATTTATAAATCTAGATCTCAACACAAATTTATTAACTTAATTATGTTAAACTTAATTTTAAATTACGCGTAACTTAACTTAATTATGTGCACCATTCTCTTGTATTCGTGCATTTAATTAATAGGCATATAGATTTTCAAAATTGAAAAAAAAAACATAATTTATTAATTAATATATCGGAACCTTGACGCCTTTATAGGAGGCATTTGAAAGACTGTCGATGAACAAAAATTCGAACACTATTTTGAAGGCTTGTACCTGAACGTGAAATATGAGTTGAGTTTTTTTTTTTTTTGACTTACAGATGCTGAAGTTGGTGTTCCTCTTCGTGGCAGTGAGCAGCCGCTGCTCTGTCTCCGTCCCCTTACCCGCAGGTGCGTATCCGGCCTAGCCACTCTGTGCCACAAGCTATTCTCGCACTGTCCTAGTGGCACACTAGGTGAGGATGCCACCTCTGGGCCACAAATTGTTCATCCTGACACTGTCCTAGTGGCACACTAGGTGAGCATGCCGCCTAGCCATTCTGTGCCACAAGTTGTTCTCACACTGTCCTAGTGTCACACTTAATTGGTGCGTATCCCACCTAGCCACTCTGTGGCACAAGCTATTCTCACACTGTCCTAGTGGCACACTAGGTGATGATGCCACCTAGCCACTCTGTGCCACAAATTGTTCTTCTCACACTGTCTTAGTGGCACACTAGGTGAGGATGCCACCTAGCCATAGGTGCGTATCCGGCCTAGCCACTCTGTGCCACAAGTTGTTCTTCTCAAACTGTCCTAGTGGCACACTAGGTGAGGATGCCACCTAGCCACTCTGTGCCACAAGTTATTCTCACACTGTCCTAGTGGCACACTAGGTGAGGATGCCACCTAGCCATTCTGTGCCACAAATTGTTCTTCTCACACTGTCCTAGTGGCAAACCAACAACAACATCCATAGGCCAGTTTCCTGCGTTTAGACAATTGATTGCAGCAAATTTATGCTGTTTGAATGCAGTATTAATGTTCTTGAATGCCTGTATAGTATAGTAATATATAGTAGCTGTATAGTAGCTATAGTAGTAGACCAAAACAATGATTTCTGTTATAAAATTTAAATAAATGCCTAATTGAAGTTGTTATTTCACGCAAAATTTTAATTATGAGTCTTCTAAGATTTTAAGTGATAACCTTTTCGTTTTTCACCTTGAGTTTGTCTAAGTTGGCAGTATTAATCGGAACTAGATTTCCATGTGAAAAATGTAACAATTATAGTCGCATTATTGTGTTGAGGAATCGTCAAAAATATCCATCAATATAGCTTATGAGAAAGTTTTTGATGCTACGGCATGCGATATGGTGTTTTTAGCGCATTTTCTCATTTATGGAAAAAATGCACTACTGTGCTCGCCATGTCCGTCCGTCCGTCTGTCTGTCTGTTTGTCCGTCTGTCCGTCCGTCTGTCCGTGACCTCAAGTTTTCGTCGACGAAAAAATGCGCTCTCTGTCACTCACTGCAGTGAGTACTGAGTTATATTTTTTGCTATTGTGTTAAACATATCGTGACTGTAATATATTTTAAAGGAGCTTCTATCGCCATTATCATACTTTTCGCTGAGATTGCAGCTATCCTAAAAATTTCGGATGGAAATCTAGGCGGTTCTTAGAGCGAGAAAATTGATTCATTGTCGAGGAGTCGGCATCGCAGTCTGAAAAACTTCCAAATTCGCCAATTTGAAGCCCAGTTAACTGCATTAAAGTCACAGAAATGTGTTAAACAATAACAATGAATAATTATGCCACCTAGCCACTCTGTGCCACAAGTTATTCTCACACTGTCCTAGTGGCACACTAGGTGATGATGCCACCTAGCCACTCTGTGGCACAAGTTGTTCTCACACTGTCCTAGTGGCACACTAGGTGAGGATCCCACCTAGCCACTCTGTGCCACAATTTGTTCATCCTGACACTGTCCTAGTAGCACACTAGGTGAGGATGCCACCTAGCCACTCTGTGCCACAAGTTATTCTTCTCACATTGTCCTAGTGGCACACTAGGTGAGGATCCCACCTAGCCACTCTGTGCCACAATTTGTTCATCCTGACACTGTCCTAGTGGCTCACCAACAACAACAACCACAGGCCAGTTTCCTGCGTTTAGATAATTGATTGCAGCAAATTTATGCTACTTGGATGCTGTATTGAAGTTCTTCAACGCCTATATACTAACACAGACCAATACTATGATTTTTGCTACCAAATTTAAATAAGTCGTTGATTTAAGTTGTGATTTCACGCAAAATTTTAATATTGAATCTGCTAAGATTTTAAGCGAAAGACTTTTTGTTTTTCACTATGAGCTTATCTAAGTTGGCAGTATTAATCGGAACTAGATTTCCAAGTAAAAATATAACAATTATAGTCGCCTTATTATGTTGAGGAATCGTCAAAAATGTCCATCATTATAGCTTATACGAACTTTTTTGATGCTATGGCAAGCGATATGGAGTTTTTTTCAAATAAGCAACGGCAACTATAGAGTTTATATAACTACTATAGAGTTTAAGGGCAACTATAAAGTTTATTTAATTCTCAAACTTAACGCCTTTTACATCATCACCTCACCACACGCAGACCACCACGGACCTACTCCGGTAGACGAGGCAAGGAAGATCGGAGGCACCACATCTAATCTCGTATTCGATTTAAAAAATTTTGTGAGTCCTAAAATAAGAATTTCGCCTAATATTTGTTGGCAAATTAGCATAATAATGTTAAAAACTGCTTTAACTTTCAGTTAATTTGTGGAACTTACGTTTGATCTTATATACTTTTTTATTTTGACTATTTCTTTCTATCGTGCCGTTTTGAATCGTATATTCCTATTATAAAAACAAACATTATTTTCAGGGAAAACTTTCTATCGGGACGGAGAAACCAAAAGTGCCAGCAAGTGGAGGAACTTTTCTTGCCTCACCATCTACAAGCAGCGACACAAAGTCTACCTGGAGCATCCTCGGGATTAAGAACGACAAGCCAACCTTGCCGGGCAAAGCTGGCCTGGACTCACTCACTTCTGGAACGGGGGGATTTTTTCCCTCAATTCCCAAACCTTCTTTCTCATCTATACCAACTCCAACATTCGGAAGTTTCCCTTCATCGTCGTTCCCTTCATTTCCGAGCTTAGACCCGGCCAGTCTTTTCCCTTCAGGCATCCCCAAGCCTTCCTTGCCTAGCTTCTCGTTGCCCAAGTTGAAGCTCCCAGGCGTCGCGAGGGCTGACACTTTCCCTGGCGTTCCAGCGCCACAAACCCAGATGCTTGTCATCAGATACCCAAACATCGCTCAGTTCTTGAGAAATGGGATAGATTTTGTAAGTATTTCTGGAGCTTATTAATCAATAAAATATTTGGTTATCTATAAAAAATTGTTTATCCCTCATGACGTTTGTATGCGTACATCAATAAGCATGTCTGTACATCAATACTCATTTTCATTTTTAATGTCTGTATAAATTATAATTAATTTTAACTTATAATTTGACTGTAAGTTCTTATTTTATTTTCAGCTTACAAGCAGTTTCAGCACCATCTCGAACTTATTCAGTGGAGGCCTCGGTAACTTCTTTGCAAATAACAGAATAACAATTTCTGCGAAGGAACCAACCGAGTTTGACGACTTGGATGTTTAGATGTTCCACATTTAATTCATCTAAAAAATATATAAAAAGTTACGTCGTAAGCGACCATTTTTCACAGTAATCCTATGACATTCATTCAATATAATTGAATAAACAAAATGAACAGAGGAACTTTGAAATTGCGCCAAAATTCTCAATAGTGTTGAAACTTATTTAGCTCTTGTTCTTCATGAAATAAACCTCGCCAAAAACTAGACTACCCTACAAATAATAGATTCCATTTATTGAATATTACGTTTTATAGAATTTTGCGTCGGTTGCTTTTGTAACAAACAAGAAGAGCTCGTTTGTAAAATTTGTCTGTTAACGAACTCTGTTTTCATAGTTCGATCAAGCAAGGCATAATGTAAAGTAGGTGCTGTCCATAGTCAATTTTGATAGCCCCTTTCCATCCTTTCCTACAATACATATTTTTTTAGAGCAAATTTCAGTATTAAATGTTTCAACTTGCATGCATTGTTCAAGTCACACAATATCCTTTCGTTTTTACATGTCTTTTGTACGTTGAAGCAAAGTTTTAACCTTTATTGTTGTTGTTTTTTGAAATGTTCAATAGTCTAATATTTATTCCTTTTAATTGTTGAACTTATTTAATTTATAACAGATTATTTATTTGGTAGGCGACTCATGATTCGAACACATGAGTGTCTTATGTAAATACGTCCCATTTCCTTACCTTATGTGTATCATTCACATGAATCTTGCCTGTAATTTTTAAGCGTAATAAAATTTCTATGTGCGTTCGTTCGAAATTTTTATTTACAAAGTTTTGGCTAGATTTGTAGATAGTTTAATAAAATAGACTGAAAAACTTCTGCAATTTTTAGGGAAAGGGATGAAAAACCAAGAAATTTTATTTGTAAAGAATAAAGGAAGTAACCCGATTGACATTGATTTATACAACAATTTTTACAACTTGATTAAGATTAATAAACAAAAATTGTCAGTTTCGTGCAATCTGTTTTGAACTTCAATTAATATCAGTGCCAACTTGAAACCAGTAATTTTTCCTTTAGGCTTGAAAGCCTGTCACTTACATTCATATTTACCGTCAATTGACTTTCTGGATTATAGCAATTCTAAAATGTATCTTCAATTGAAATATGAATAAACAATTATTTTATCATACATAGGAACAAAGCGCTCAGCGTAGTACATATAAATGCATTTAAAAGAATGTGGATAATTAGAAATTATCTAAAGAGCCTAACAAAATTTAATCTCGGAAATTTGACGAAAAGTCAGTTGGTTTTCTGATATTTAAAATTGGGATGTATAATATTTCTTCTACCATAGATTGAATCACTTGCAACATGGTGCTAATCGTCGCGTTATCGAATAATAATAACTTTCGATCAAGTTCCTACATATCTTCTGCTGTAGAGGTTAGTTGCCTCTGTTTCCATCATACTTGGTGAGGGCATTGACAGCATTCCTGGCAACAGTTCGCCACACACTTCCAGCATCACGAGCTAATTGTATGGAATTGTCAGCCATCTTGCCAGCATATTCTTGCATTGCGTCGCCAGTATCTTGCCAGACTTTAACGAAAGTCGTGGCAACATCACGCGCCATGTTGCTGGTCACCTCCGCAGCGTCTACCAAGCCGTTGATGCCAGACTGGGAAGTTTTGTCAGCAAAACGTCCTGGCACATGAATGATATTTTACATATTATTATGCATCCAACAAATATAACTTCGCATATTAACTTTAATGGAAGAAATATTTTTACTTGGTTTCAATGAATAATTTCTTTTAATTTCTCCATGCTCTAGAAACATTGTTTAGTATATTGTATTAAAATTAGACGTCAGTTAGGACAAAAGAAACCTTCAAAAGCTAAATTAATTCTAAAAAAATATAAATCATCTATCAATAAATTCATAACTGTTTAATTGTTCTATCAATAAATTCCTAACTGTTTTATTGTTCTATCAATAAATTCCTAACTGTTTTATTGTTCTATCAATAAATTCCTAACTGTTTTATTGTTCTATCAATAAATTCCTAACTGTTTAATTGTTCTATCAATAAATTCCTAACTGTTTAATTGTTCTATCAATAAATTCATAACTGTTTTATTGTTATATCAATAAATTCATAACTGTTTTATTGTTATATCAATAAATTCATAACTGTTTTATTGATGAACATCTCTCGGCCTCATCTCACTCTTGGTCGAAACAGGAACAAAATTATATAATATGAGTCCTGCATCTCACCAGCATCCTTCAAGGAGTCGTCAACGTATCCCTCCACGGCGTTGGCGGTATCCTTGATACCCTGGACGGTCTCTCTCGCCACGTCGCCCACCGCCTCGTTGAGCTCCTCGACGTCGTCCACGCGATGGTTGAGCTGGTCCTCCAGCAGGTCGTTTATCTCCTTCTGAACATCAGAGATCCCTGAAACCAAAGACGTACCACATTAATATTGATAATAATGATTACATTTATTCTATAGAAATATTTGTGACGTATTAATATAACGCAAGGTTAGTCTGGCGCTGTCCTGGCTTCATAATCCTTGCAATTTTTTATTAATACCATCATCCTGAATCACGTTATTCCGAATCACATTACGAAAAACAAAGTCAACTATTTAAAGGAAGAACCGATCAAACTCAGGCTTTACCTCAAACATTATATTGAACTAATTCACTATTATGAATTAATTATTGAATTAATTCACATAATTAAATTGATAAATTATTCAATTAATTGAACTAATTCACGAACTAATACACAATTTCGAAACTGAATTGGAGTAGAAAATGTTTTTGCGCCTGCAATATGTGGAGCGTATTAAGGCTATTAAGCCTTTGTTTTATTCGTAAAAAAATTAAGCCTAACCGTCCACGGTGAGGTCAGAGATGTTGCGGAGAGCGTCCCCTATGATGGTGACGCGGCCTGAGAAGCCGTCCGTGAGCTCGACGACGATATCCCCCAGCGGGGCCGCCTGGGCGCTCAGGGCAAGGCTCGCCACTAGGATGTACTGAATGAACTTACGGAACTCCATCTGCATGCCATGCGATAAATACACTTAAAGGATATATTATTATTTATTATGTACGATAATATATTTGTAAGCGGGAATCTGCTAAGCAAATACTCCTCGTATACCGCGTCTGATCGCCGTTTTATTCTTTAGATGAGCGTTTACGACCAGCATATCTAAGCTAGCTGATGAAAATAGATTAAATTAATTGCTTAGTTATTAATTTTCACACAAATGAGTAAACTGGTGCCGCCTTATTGCTAACTACCTTTATTTAAAGCAGAAATTTCTATCGTTCTTCTAAAATTTCACAAGTCAAATTCTGCATGCGCTTGTACAGTAAATGAATGCAACGGATACTTACATTTATTAGATCAGTTGTTAACACGGCACTCTCTGACTCAGGACTGAGTGTGCGTGAGGTTGTAGCGGCCGAGATGGGCCAGCAAAGTATATTTGGTTTCAGTTTTTGCGCTGCCCCGCACACGAGTCGGCGCTCAAGGTTTGGCTCGAGTGACTTGAGTCACGTATGCAGGTTTCGGATAATCCGCACGGGCGAGAAAAAACGGTTCTCCAGGGACACACCTCGAGATTAGACGTTGAGTCTTAATCATATGTTGAATGAACTAGAATCTCGGGAAGGGACCCGAGTTTCGCTAACGTGCATTTGACTGACCAGTAGACTTTCTTTCCTAATAAGGTGAATCGCCAACCGTTACAGGTCGCTTTTTCTCGTACAAATTCCAGGTTAATTTTACGTAGTTGAGGCAAGGACGACAACCGGTTCAGCTGGAGGGATGTTTCGTCAAGGTCATTGTTTTTTGGAGCCTTAGCTTAACTCTGCAGCGATCAATTTGGTACGACTGAGAATGCATTATAAACTGCTTGATCGATTTAAAATAAGTAGGTTTCTTGTCTTATCCATACATGCTTGGCAGTCGAGCATGAATTCGCTTCTATATTATATTCCGTTTCTATATATATTTTGTTTCTAAATATATATACTTTTGTTATTTAAGTTGTAGAGCAGTAATTATCAGCAGAGTAAATAATGAAGGCTCCAGTTCATGTAGCTGCGTTGATATTTTTGTTTCTGATTCTGCCGTACAGTTCAGGCTATAAGAGGAGAATGAACCTGAGAAGAAGAACCTGAGAAGCATATTAAATTTAGAGAACTTCCATACCTGCAAATTTTCGTGTGTTTTCAGGCGGCTTCCTCATCTATTAGGAGGATTTTGTTGCAACGATTTCACTCAGGTTTAAAATAATGGAGCAGACGATGTCAAATCCTTAATTATTAAAAATTGGTCTTAAAATGCTCATGCAACCAATAATTGAAACATTAAAGCAAAAATTATGTCATGAAATTTTTTATTAGTATTATAGCGCAGGGATCATGAAATTTTGATTTAGGAAGTGCACAAACCGCCCACTTTAATATAGATTCTATGTACAACTCCAGTTCATGGGACTTTCAACGAATAAAAATTTCTTCTTTTAGGAGTAACGGTTTGCTGTGTGACGACACGGTAACGCCTGCAGGTTTTGGGAAAAATCTTTCTTGACAAAATAATTTTAGGTATCGTTAGCCGTTAGCTTTAACTTTTCACCTTATTGTCCACAATTTTTATACGAACTCCTCAGTTTGTTATGAACGAAATTCCCTGGAATTTTCTAAGAATCATTCAATTATTGTTTTTGAATAAAATTTGGTGGATCAGACGTTGTTGCCGGGAAACTTTTACTATAGGACGTTTCCGCATTGCAAGCCCAACACCAACCTTCCGCAGGCTTGTGCTTCGAATTTTGAATACTTTCCTGGAGGTATTTCTAGGACATTCAGGATGCAGGATGGGCTTTCAAGCACGATACTTATAATAAGGGATGCATTTAAAAAGAGATATTAGATACACATGGGGTTTCATTTTCAACCGCAGTATTTTTTATATTTAAGGGATAAGTATTCAAGCACCGTAAAATATTTTGTTAAACTATTTCCATGTCAAATGATTTGGGACATTTGAGATAATTTCCTTTTCCTAATTGCAAAAATTTGGAATGCAGATAATGAGGCATAACTGCTTATGAATGAGATCTGACGGTATTGCATTTTGAATCCAAAGATTGAACTGGTGACGAATAGTATTACTCCCTATCAAGACATTTGGGATGTACCTGGCACGAATTAAAAATTTAGGCATGCATACTTCGATGCATTTTCAACTATGCAATTAAGGATATATTGAGATTTTTGCGCCATCTGAACATGGGATCAGTGCTTTATTCTTAGTTCATCATTTATTTGCCCATGCATGTGTGAGTGTACCGAGTTCGAAGTGTCCAGCGATGTTGGAGGTGCTTGGAAACACTGACATGTGGTACTGGCATATTATCACATGCCGGCCTGTTATTGTTAGAATTATTATTTGTGCATTATTTATTATTGGTACGGCATATTTTTACTTGCCGGCATGTTATTATTACAATTATTGTCTTGATCGTTTTTTCGGAGCTAAAAACCTTTTTAATGAATTGCTTATACGTCTTTGATATTTCTATTTTAATGTGAACAATGCCGTATAATGAATCAACTTCAAGATATATTTTAAATAAAACAATCCTGCGTTTCCTTGGAGACGCTGGAACTGTTAAAATATTTCCGGAGGGTTTTTTAGCGTTAGGCCGCGTGTTTAAGAAAATTTACCCAGGTTATGTAGATGCTTCTGAATAATCATCCATTTTAAATCAATAGTTATGGAAATATTACAGAGGTTATTAGATATTGGGAGGCGATTCTTCGGAATTTGTGCGTACCGGCTGATTATAGCGAACTACTGACAACCGGCGCTGTCAAAATAATGTCAAGAACGGCTCTTCTCATCGTTTCTGGTATACATTTTAAAAACAACTTGATATGCTGGCAAGATTCTCTCACTAATATTACGAGGTTTAACGAACAAACGGCCGAGTTTGGCTTGGCCTGTTCTAGGTGTGTTTGTATATAGAGCAAGCCATGTTAGGTCTTACTGACATTATTAAATATCGAGATAACTCTACTTTAAACGAAATATTTATCGATAGATCTTACAGAAATTGAAAATGATCTCTTCACACACACGTGCAAGCCTCATCCTACAGAGGGGATGGTCTCACGCAATCCGCTCATGCGTGTGAAGATGTAAGCATAAAATGATTTCTTCATTCCTTATTTATCTTTAAAATGTCCCTATTGAAAAATTAGTATGCGATCCTGAGTTTCAACATAATTTTCACAATTAATTTACGCATCTTGAAATTAAAGTTCTCAATTACCCTGAAATCACATTTTCCTTATTTTCAGTGTCATTGAGCAAACTCTGGAATCTAAAATCTTTTGATAGAAAATAATTTGGCAGGTATCCACATAAGAAATTCCAGTTGAATAATGAGTTTCAATTAAAGTGTTTTCCGCTGCACCTTATTGTGCAGACAACCGGAGGCATTTCTTAACTTCAAGGTTCGTGCATTTTAAAATAATATAAACTTATAAATAAATAATTTTTCGGAATTAATATTGTTAAAATATAATCTCATATTTTATATTAGATGAAATTGAATGATTAATCGATAGATTTTATAATCGATTCTAGTAATTCGATATTGACCTAAGTGCTTATAACAAGTCAACAAGAATGTTCCACAATCTCCTTAGAAAGATTGTTTAAGATTGCACTAGCTCAAAAACATACAATTTTCATTTAGAATTTTTTTAAGATCGTTTTAAATCAACAGCCTTCTCCACGATATTCTTAAAGAGATTGTTAAACACTAATTTAAATTTAAATTACTTCCCCAAAATTTTATTAAAGAAATGTTCTAATATTTCATTGCATCAACAGGCCATTTCAACAGGCCAATATTTCATTGCATCAACCCTCTTGGAGGGACTGTTGAAGACTGTACTACATCAACAGGCTTTTTCTTGCAGAAATTGCTTTCTTCGCGTGATTTTCTGCCGTTGCACAAATAACCTGGAAAGCAAGGCAGTAACACATTTACGTAAATGAATTGTGTTTGGTTTAATTGAGCGGTTGCATGGGCCATATGGGGGTCACCGGCTTCACAAGATCTCGATGGTCTTGTGAGTATAAATCCAATCTCGCACTCACCTTATATATTCTTTAGCGATATTCATATTCATTACTATGTACTTTGGAATCACATTAACAATAAATATCATTTCCAGTAATTTCGTATCTTTTATTGTTATAAAAAATTATTTTTTCATCATTTTTGAGACTCAAATCATCAAATTAGTTGTAACACACATAAAAGCGTTTCTTAGCATTATTTTCTCTTTATAACGCATCCCCAATGATTTCTAACACGTATTTTCCATAGCAGATTTGCAAGCAAAAATCTTTTATTGGGTGATCAATGTATCGTAATTATGAGCATTACTACGGAATAAATATATGATGAAAGTATTTTTAGTTCATATGTTCGACCAAAAGGCTCAAGCACAGAAAATGAGCATAAATACATCAAGCATCACATATCATTAAATGCCTGAGTCATGACAGCTGAAATTGTTAGAGAATTTACGGGTGCGAAGATCAATTTCAGTCTTTTCATTATTCAAATTAAAAAATCGGTGTCATCGTCGGAATATAAACTGTAAAACTCGTAAATAAAATGAGAAATTCTAGCTGACATTTTAATTCCAACAAATCTTTAGGGGACGTTGCAATTTACATCATATTACAAAGTATTTCTTTCATTCAGGGGTAGAAGTAAAAATAGAGTGATATTATATTATTTATTTTAATCACAATTTCGTATCATGAGGTTTTTAAACGAGGATCTAAGAATTTTTTATTTACTGGCCTGAGATAGCACGCAGTAGTGTACATATGCAACGCGGTACTTCGAAGGTCTTTTGAAATAACTAAAAAGCAGGTGATGTCATATGTACATTTATACAGCTGTAACTAAATGATATTCTCTTGTTTAGCTTAGTCTGTTCGATACCAGAGCCACAAATTTTCGCAGAATAACTCAGAAAATGTTTACTATACGAAAATTATGATTTTAAAGATTGTTGGTTCCAACAGTTTGGTAAACAAGAAAACCATTCATGTTCTTCATTCATATTAGATAGAATCAGTCTACATTCGAGGCGCGAGCAGTTTGTACAAACTGTACTTTAACTTACAAAAATCGTGGAATCTCTTTCTACATTGATAAAATTATATGTACATATTCCTTCGTATGAAATGTGCAGAACATGAATTTATTTCTAGTTTGCGCAACAGTTATATGCATGAAAAATTAAGAAAATAATTGTTTAGCTGCATGGACTCTGATTCCATTTAACTTTAATTAAAGAATTGGCTAAGTTATCCACTAAATTAGGTTTTAAATTCCTCATATATCTTCTGTAATTGTTTTAATATTCCTGTCCACTACTCGGTTGACAACTTCTATCGTTCTGTCGCCGGCTTTGCCCATTTCTTCAATAGTGTTTGCGAAAAGGTTGCGAACAGATTCTCCTTGCCTAAGAATGCCACCTATCAGATTCTCATTCAATCCTTCGATGAACTGACCAACTGATCGAGCAGTTCCAAAGGCTGTTTCAATTGTGTCTTGCAAAGCATTGCTCACGAACACTCCCATGTTCTCGAGAGCTTTGCCAAGTAGCCCCACAAAAGCGTCTCGTGTTTGCAAAGCCCCTCTGTAACTCGTGGCTGTGATCTTCGACACGCGTTCACTTGCATCATCAACTCCTCTCATCAGAGTCTCTGCAGTGTCGTCCGCAAAATGCGACATTTCTTTTCTGATCCTCTCTGCTCCTCTGCTCACTTCATCTCGTAGTCTTGTTAGAACTGGACTGATGGCTGTATCTCGAACAATATCAGCAACACGCACACCAGGCCTCCTGTTTCCATTTCTATCTGAGCTCCGCACCAAGTATGAATCTCTGTCTGGCTTTCTATCTATTGAAACCTTGGCGAGATTGTCAGAATCTTCTACCATCTTAGCTGCCAGTAAATTAACTTCTTCTATCAATGACGTGTTTCCGTTAGCAATTCCTTCTTGAAGCTCATTCAGTCGCGCTTCTATCTGATTGATGATGTCCTTCAAAACTGGAATGAGAGTATTGTTAGGAGTACTTTCGGTAGCCACCACTTGTGTCATTTGTGGAGTGGTTGATTCAATGCCCGTCTCTGATGTCGCAGACTGCCAGATGAGGTCAATCAAGTTGGTTCCGCGAGTTGTGGTTACAGTAGTCGTTGTTGGTACGGTCGTCATGGGTGATTCAGTAGCTGATTGCCATATTAGATCGATTAAGTTAGTTGTTCTGGTTGTGGTACCTTTAGTCGTTTTTTGTGTCGTCGTTACGGGTGATTCAGAAGCTGATTGCCATATTAGATCGATTAGGTTAGTTGTTCTGGTTGTGGTACCTTTAGTCGTTTTTTGTGTCGTCGTTACAGGTGATTCAGTAGCTGATTGCAATATTAGATCGATCAAGTTGGTGACTCTCGTGCCTTCAGTAGTGGGAATGCTTGTTGTGGTCATTGGTGTTACGGCCTCAGTCGCTGATCTCCAAATAAGATCAATCAAGTTAGTGGCTTCTGTCATGGGTAATGTTGTACTCCTAGCAGTCGAAGAAGTGGATTCGTGTTGCACAAAATGTTTTTTATGTTCCTGATGTTTCAGAATATTAGTGTCCTTTATTTTGTTTTCTTCTGCAGTGTTGAGAACACTTGGTTTCGGGGTAGCTGGCAGGGATATTTTGGCATCTGCATTCACTTGAAGAGCGGACAGACCAGTGGCCTGGCTCGGAGCTGCCTTTGTGTCTGTTGGAGTGAATATTGCCGGAACAACTATTTTCTTACCTTGCTTGTCAACTAATGTGACCAGGACGGTTCTTTCTTCCGGTTTAAGTCTAATATTTTCTGCCGCTATTCCACTATTATTTATATAAAGGAAACGATTTGGATCCTTTCTCGGTGGTGATGGAATGACGTTCAGAGGCGCAGAATTTATTGCCTTTGAAATAGAGCCTTCATTCATGAATCGTACATCGGTTTTGCTACCGGTGATACCTTCTTTGGGACGCTTGAATTTCATATCGTATTCTGTTGTGTCCTCTGAGTCGTTGGTATTTTGGGTTTGTCTCGTATTAGTATTGATAGGTGGTGAACTAATTGGAAGATGATTATCGTGTTTTATAACATCAGAAGTTTCGATAAAAGTGCGAGCCTCAGTGGTTTCTGGGTATTTTTCGGGAGTTGTAGTAGGGACGTTGAGTAGCGAAGTTGCGTCACCTAGGTACTCAGTCATTTTATCAGAGGTGGTACTTCGAGTTGGAATGTAAACATCTTTCGTTTTGTCTAATCGACTGCTATTTTTACGATCTTCAAGACTCACACCCACAGAGGGAGGAATTACAGCTGATATTACCCTTTGAGTTGTTACAGCAGTTATCCCAGCTGTTCTTTCGTTTGTCGACGTCTTCACGACTGTTTCTCTCTGATCCAACTTCATTGTATTACTGCCATTAATGAGCGAAACGCCATCCTTGCTCGATGCGTTTCTTACTATTACATTTACTGGTAATGATGCAGAGGCATTTCTAGAGACCCTTTCATAATTTCTAGAACTCGAATTCAAAGTGGTTGCCACATCTCTAACTAGAGCCAGTTTGTTATCATTGGAGACTGGTACGTTCCGTAATTTATTCAATGAAACTCCGTCCGAAGAATTCATCGTATTAGCAGTCATCAGTAAAATTTTGCTACTTGCCTTTTGGGGTTCTGTTTTGTTTTTGTCCAGGGCATCGGACATATTCCTAATAGAAGGAACATTTGCAGAGCTGATGGTGTGATAATATTGCTTCAATATTTCACTCTTCCACTCATGATGAAGGTCTCTCAATGTAACATCCACACCAACCTCACTTTGCGTTTTATTTTCGTCGCCGCTTTTGCCGACGTTTCGAATAGCTGTTAAACTATCGGTACTTCTTTGTTTCTGCATCGGAGGATTCATCAGGAAATAATTTGGGATCACGGCGCCACCAGCTCCGGCAGCACCCAGCAAGGATTTGGGTAGAGCAGTGCCACTTCCAGCGGGCAGGACCGGCGAATGTGCTTTTTTCGCGTAGCTTGGCACAGCGCTGTTCGCAAAAGCTATGGTCTGCATCGGAATGCTGTTATTTTGACTTCCTGATCCTGAGGGTTCAATAGCCACTTTGTGCACTCCGACTGGATGGTCTGTCTTGGTTGTCGCCCCAGCTGCTTGTGCATGTAATTTAACAGGTACTTCAACGTTTTGATGGTCGGGAAGTACCATTTTTGAAGATCTGGAAGGCTTAGGTGGAGTTGTCATTGTAGGCAATGAGCTCAGAGTTATTGCTCCAGGTATCGTCTTCATGAGCTCATTACGTGGCCGTGACATTAATGTGCCGCCATGCTGTTGTCTACTAACTGACGACTGAATATTTGTTTGTACTAAGGGAGCTCCAATGACTGAGTAACTTGCGGGTATTCTCGAAACATCAGCGGAAACTCTCGGCAATCTCTGAGCTATTGGACCACCAGCGGCTGACTTCAGAGGCGCATTGCGTGGATTTAACCTTGAAACAGAATTGAAGTGTTTCATAAGTGGGGGTGAAGGGCTTCTAGAGGCTGGCAGTTGAATAACATTTCGGGCGCTGTTGAAGATGATGGTTGGTGCTGGACCGCTCCTGGACCTGGCTGGGGGAGAGGATCGCTGCTTCGCTGCGGCGAGACTGACGCTCGGCAAGGAGCAGACGAAACCCAGCGAAAAGACCACTCGCAGTGTCACGCTCAGCCACATTGTCTGGAGACAAAGAAAATACCAGCGGTAAATGATGTTGAGGTGGAATATTGCAGTGACCATTAATTAGGTTCATATAAATGACATTAGACGACAATCTAAGAAACTTATGACACCATCATATTTTTGTGCAAGATAATAATATACAATAATAATGATATAGCTGTTTCAGCGTTTATTAGGAAACACTAGGGCCGTAGGCCTGTCGCCGATTCTTAATTTCGCAGAACATTGAAAGCTTTTTGTGGTTATCCAAAAAAGGTAAAGGTTTGCAACTATACTTTTTATGCAGTTTTTCTTACCTTCAACTATCTTCTCACGAAAAAACGGAAAAAGAGAAATTATTTCAAAATAAACGCAATTTTTGTTATTTGCGGAGGCCAAAATTTTTATTTGCCTTTACCTACATCAGCGAGGACATCACATATCCTGAACTTCGTCAATATAACGCACGTCTATTCTCAAGCCCTACAAAAGCACTGAAGAGTGTGCTGAAAATCTCCCCATGAGCTGGAAACACAACCTCCACCGACCACTCCCTGAGACGACAGAGCCGACAGTTCTGTTCCTACCATCGTAGCCTTGGCGCAGCTCAAAGTCCTTTGCAAACCTTGCCATAACCTGTTATAGATCAATGCCAACAAATTGATAATATTTCTATAGTAAAAAAAATAAAAATTGCTGTTTTTGGTGCATTCGTGGGTACGTGATCATCTGCCACGCTCACACGTTTTTTGTCGACATCGCCGAGTCCGTCACGCCCGGCGCGACGTGCGCGCCACCACACGCCGGCGCTGCAAGGTCGCCCCAGCTCACAGCGAATATCTAAATTAAACTAATAGTATATCTAGCATAGTGGTATATCTTGCTCGTCCCATCCGAATATCTGAATTATAGGAATATTCTGAAATTATTCAATTTTCAACTAATGATGTAATGATTGCTTGTGTATTATGTGTAATGAAAATCTTCACAACCTATCTTTTTACTTATTTTTCATATTTTCGGGATTTATTGATCTATGCGAATTAATTTCTTACAGTCTGACTTCGGTAATTATGATTAGTATTTCAATGATATAGGAGATCGAATTTTTCAAGTTTTAGGTTAACTATAGTGCTGACACAGGTAATTTTGACGCAAGAGTTGTTGTTGTGAGTGTTGCCATGGCAACCGATAGCCATCAGTGTTGGTCGCTGAGCTGTGCGTCGCTTACGCTCACCACTGAGCTCACCGACACATTTATTTCTACTCCATCGCATGAGTTGAGAAATAAAGTGCTAAGATATATTGCGATGAATTTAGTGGGCGTGGAACATCTGAGACCATTCATTGGATGGTGAAAGTTGAGAAATAAAATGAAAATTTGATATGATTTTATTATAAAAGTACCAAAAGAAAGGATTTGAAGTTCCTTTGTAATAATAAAAGTGTAACAGACTAAATTTATGCTAAAAATGTTCTCGGAATAGCCTGAGTGTATACAAATATTCAAAAATTATAAACAATATTTATAATTTTTAAGCTAGAATCGTGTTTAAATCTTCCGTGAAATAATTCTGGTTTAGTATAATAAAAAGGAATGTGATTAATGAAAAAATTAAAAGGAAAATAGTGTAAACAATTACCATTGCCATCATGAGCATTAGGAGTGAGGCCCTGCAGACCGCAGACATCAGTGACGCCGCCAGCTACGAGAGCGACTCAGACACCTGCTCCGAGGCCACCCTGAGGGGCACCGCGTCCACAGGTAATGTTTCTCACCGCCAGAGGGAGGGCTGGCATCGTGACGAACGTCATTCTGATGACAGATTTGCTGGCAGTTTAGATGAAGGATTACCATCCACAGATCCGATATCCACGAAATTCAATCCACGAAGTCGTGATAGCATAGACACCGAAGAAGCCGGATGTGTTAAACATCTAAAAGATCTCCTAATACGTCTTTCACCGATGATCAGTATGGCTGGAACCAGCGACAACACCGCAGAGATGCTCATGTTTCTCTCGGACACAGATCCCAAGTTCCACACCCTGCAGCTCGTGAAGGCCATGAGAGCTGGCGCAAGAACCTCACTCGAGACCACAGTTGATCGACTTGTTCATGAATACCTGGAGACTGCTGGAGATAAAATCAAACAGGAGAACCCAGTTGTGACAGTCTTGAATAACTTATTTCAAAATGATGAATTTCAAACCTACTTGGAATCGTTTCAAAACACGCTCTTTAGTTCTTCAGATTATTTACATCAACATTTCGAAAGAGAAATGTCATCCGTGATGCACGAGTTTTATTTGGGTTCAAACAGAAATTGGGAGCACGGTCAAGAGCTCTCAAGCAACGTGTCTTCATTGAATTCTTCTTTAAACCAGTCTGGTTTCTTGTTTCTGACATCGAAACAGTACGACAATATTGCGGCCACGCTCGTCCACAAACAGCTCATGGGCAAGTGGTCGGAGTGTTTGAATCAGCTTCTTTCGGTGACTCCAGGAGAGCCAGTCCTACAACAATCATGGTTTGACCTCAAGAAAGGCCTCAAACAGTGTCTGTTCTTGCCACTAGCCACCGAAAATTCAGAACAGAACGATATTTTCGACAAAGCGCTCAAAATGCACTCAAAGTTGCTAGCGTCACAGACTCAACTGGCGATCACTGAAGCAAATACCAACCTTATTGAAGCTGCTTCAGAGTTTTGGCTTAGCAAGAAGCTATCCACTTACCTCACAAGTACTTCAAGCATGAAACTGGTGCAATGTTGTCCTCTGATCCGCATCATCAAGTTGCTTCTGTACTTCCAAGCCGACCTGCCATTGCTTTGGATTCGCTATCCACAACATGTTACTGTTACTCTTATAGAACGATGGCTAGATTTTCTTGCTGAAAAAACGGGAGGAGGAAAGTTTTTATCCAGCAAAGATTTAGTTTCTATTTTGGATCCAGAAGCCTCATGGCTGAAGCAGTGGTTACATCCTCGCTATGGGAGAACAAAGGTTCTGGCAGCAATTTCTCGGTCTCCAGTTCTACTAACAGAAGCCCTACAGGTTTGTTTAAACTTCATCTCGACCGAAAATAATCAAAGCCAAGAAAAAACCAACGAAGAGGAGTCTTCAGGTCTTTCGCAAGAAGAATTTGCGCAGGTGCAATTTTTGTACAGCGTATCAATGATCTTGGAATTTGTCAAGTATGAAGAAGGCCGTCAGTTGTTCCCGATTGCCATCACAGCCGAAGGCGAGCCAATTTCTGTTTCGATTTTGCTCAAGATTTTATTCACTTACGAAGGACGAGGGAATGACCGGAATTTATCTAATTGCGTCCGGCGGAAACTCAGGGACGTCAGTGCGTCAAGTGAGTTATTTGTTCGTCAGATTTGCAAAGCAGGACTGGTTCATCACTATGTACATGAACTCACTACCAAACGGCTGTCAATGGACAGAGATGCTCTAAATATCCTCATCAGCACACTGCAGGTCATTGTTAGCACTGGTAAAGGAATCAGGTACATTTTGTTGGGAACCTTTGACAAAACTTCGCTACATTTATCGCCTAATGAATTCTGCAATGAAGTTCTGAATCTGTTTGGAAGACTCCTTGTTGAAGAGCACCAGATGAGCCTAAACTATTCCCGAGTGTTCGAGATGACTACAGCTTTGATCAACTCGCAAGAAGGACGCTACCTTTACGCCAGCCATCAAACATTTAGACAAGCTTTGACTAATCTAACGAGCTTGTATCATAGGAGGTGAGACGTTCTTATTAATATTATAAATGCGATAGCGCAAACATAAACTAAGTTTTACCATATGACTTAACCTTTTAGCGATCACTTTTCTTTACAGCGCAAAATACCATATTATATCCATATCAAAATGCCGAAATTTATTCAAATTGACTGGCGGCATATACATTGTATATGTGACACCTGCATGGTCATAGCGCAACCTAAAACTAAAGGCGAAATATTTATCCAATCGGAAGAATGAGCTGTATAAATGATCAAAAAATGTTATTTGCAAGGCAACGTAGATGCACAGCTAAGCTAGAGGGTAATAAATAAATATGGTTTAACTTACAATACGGCTGGAAAGGGTTTGTCACCGATAAAAGGCAGGATTGAGAACCATGAGAATGATGAATCAAAGACTAATTAGTATACCGTCCGTTCACAAAAATGACAAGATTTAATCTAAAAACTACCAAAATAATTAACTGAGACGAACTAAAAAAATTATTTTACATATTCTCTTTTAAATGACGGCGACAGTTTTTTTTAAAGCAAGATTTGATTCTAAAAACTATCAAAATAATTAACTGAGACGAACTAAAAAAATTATTTTACATATTCTCTTTTAAATGACGGCGACAGTTTTTTTAAAGCAAGATTTGATTCTAAAAACTATCAAAATAATTAACTGATCCGAACTAAAAAAATTATTTTACATATTTTCTTTAAAATGACGGCGACAGTTTTTAATTTTTAAAGCTCGAAATCATGTGTTATTACTTACTTTACCGAAAATGTTTGCATATAGCTTCTAAAGTAAGCTTCCTTATGCTTGTCGAAATCATTTCAGTCTTTTGGGCCTCTTGGAAGCGGTGGCTGACGGGTCCATCTCAGTGGAACACCGCCAAAGTCTCCTGCGCCAAACGGCAGCCGCAGCTCTGGCCAAATCCCACCACTCAGCGTCGAGCGTCCACTCGTGGGAGCCTCCGCCGGCGGTGGACTGGAGGGAGAGGGATGTCGTGGCCGTGGATGCACACCACAATTCGGCGCTGCCAGCCGAAGTAGTCGCCATCCTCACGGCTACTCCGCATGGTAATTGAGGTTTCTTGAGCGAAATATTCAATCCTGCGACATTTGACAGCCAAAGAAACGACGGTCGACGGGGAGGTGTTCTGAACGAACTCGGTGTCCGGCGCTGAGATTGTGCGCTATTCGAGTGCATGACTTGAGAATGCAAGTAGCAGAAAAGCGGACTAGTGAAGCGCACGTATTCGTTAAAAAATGCTGAGACCATGCATTTGATTGCTTAAACTATCAAATTAACCAAGGATTTCATAGCGAAAAAAATAACCAAAAATTCATCATTACCTTATAAGAAAAAACTTTTCGGAGCGAAGCTAAAGCAGCAGACTACGAAACGCTTTATCTGATTTCTTCTTTAAAACGCTGATTTTGATTATGTGTTGCAGGCATGACGGCGCTGCGCAGCGTCGTGGAGGAAGACAATTCTTTGCTGTGGCTGCAGCAGCAGCAACAGCAGCAGCTGCCACTGGCGCTCTTCGCTCTTACAGCTCACACAGCAGGTTACCTCCATTTATTATCTGTCTAGACTTGGAACAATGTTGCCAGACTATATATGTATGTATATTCAACGAATTGAATTCAGAGCTGACGGTTAACAAATTATTTCTGCAGTTAATAATAAAGAACGTATTATACTATGAATGTTTCATCGCAGTCATCGTTATCTACGTTACAAAGCACTACTCGTTCCTAGAAATCTAACATTTTTGTCTTATCAAGTCAAAATCGGGATACGCGAAGGAGGCGCTGTTTACACGATATTTATGTATCCTATTCTTCATTATGGTTCGCCATCGGCAGGCGTGGAGCTGCTGCTGGAGCACGGCGTGCGGTACCTTGCGGGTGCCCTCTTCAGCTGGCAGAAGATCGACCAGAGAGAAGCAGCGCTCACTCTCGTCGCTGCCGCTGGAAGCGCCCTTGACTCCAGGCTCATGCTTCAGGACAAGCTCGGTTACAGGGTACACTTTCTTGCTAAATTTTTATACATATTTTTTTAATTATATCGCTAATATATTCTCAATTGCTCAACATTGTTTACGTTGCAGTCGTCTCTGAATAATCTCTTTTTAAGGTAGCCTGTTGATAAATCCAAGATACACGCAAGCATTCCTTATTTGCTTCAGTCTTTCGATATTGCCTTAATTGTATTCCATAAACCTAATTGACATTGAACGTTAAATATTACATTTTTATACTTAAAATTCATTCTTTATTAAGCGATAAAATTCGATAAATTATTTTATACGTAAAATTCATTCTTTGCTAAGCGATAAGCGATGAAATTCGTTGAATTATTTTATACTTAAAATTCATTCTTTGCCAAGCGATGAAATTCGTTAAATTGCAGGAGGAGCTGAGCCGGCAACTGACGGAGGAGTTCGAGGAAGGCCCTGTGCTGGACGAGAGCTACGTCCTGCGTGCACACCTTCTACAGCGTGCCGCTCATCTGGGCACAGAGGGCCGCCCTCTCTACGTCCTCCCGCCCCACCGCAACACCATGCTTGATGAGGTCTGCTTAACTGGCGTCGCGCTCAAGAGTGGAAGGCTAACTAAATTATTATTTAGGAATCGAGAATGGAAAGCAAACTAAATTATTATTTAGGAATCAAAAATGGAAAGCAAACTAAATTATTATTTAGGAATCAAGAATGGAAAGCAAACTTAATTATTATTTAGGAATCAAGAATGGAAAGCAAACTAAATTATTATTTAGGAATCAAGAATGGAAAAAAAACTAAATCGATATTTAGGAATCAAAAATGGAAAGCAAACTAATTATTATCTAGTGATATATTTCAACTCCTGAATATTTTTGGTCACCAATTCAACGATTCTTTGCCATCGCGTATTTTGCATCAGGTAAAACCGAGAAAATCTTAACTTCAGTCAATATCTTAATCTAACTGATCAAGAGAAAGTCACGATACTCTTGTCATTTTCTAAGTATGACTAGGGTTCTGAAAACTCATGTTGTGCTCACTGTGTTATTGCATATTGTGTTGATTGCTTATAATGTTCATTGATTACAATTTTAATTGCTTACGATCTTCATCGTTCATCGTGTTCATATTACTGAGTACATTGCTTATTGTTTGCATTCATACATTAACTCTATTCATCGCTTACAGTGTTCGTTGCTTACAGTACCATTGCTTGGTTTCCTTGGTATTTGTTTGGGACGTAGCAGTCCCAGGCCACGATGGATCGCCGCCTCTGATTATCGTTCATCCGCCCTCATTTGGGCCACCTGATGCTCGATGCTGTTGCTTGCTTCTCGCCGCTGGCTTAGTATTCAATACTCAATTGCTTAGTATTCAATACTCAACTGTTGATTTTTGTTCACCAGTTGCAGGCATCTGAGAGGGTCGGCGTGCACGGAGGTGCTCGGCGCAACCTGCTGCAGCAGTCCGGACTGTGGCAGTTCCTGCAGAACACACGCGTGTCCCTGCACGACCACGCGTGGCTCAGACACTGCAAGAGGCACTTCCAAGCCGCCCTAGTCTCATCCGACAACATAAAGGTGGGCTGACATCAAGGTTACGGTTCATGTTTCTAATCTAACGGAAAGGCGTCAGGCTTATCCTAATTCTTTTCTATTTTTAGACGATTCGATTAAAATTAAATAGCATAACAAGCGTAATTCAAACAACTTGGTCGGACTTCACCATCAAAACTGTTATGAATCATCATTATGCAAAATGATCCTAATAAAATAGTGGAGAACAATTTTAATGTTTTTCCTTGCGGGCGAGCGCAGAACAGCCACGTTTTCAACATACTGGAGTGGGCGCTCGAGGCGCACGGCAGTTTACAGTCCCAAGCTTCGCCGGACGTGATCAAGTCCCCACACGCGTCCCCGTCCCCAGAGTCTTCACCCAGGCCTACGAAGGTGTTTGTTTTCCCCGACGCCTCCCCAGCACAAGACGTGACATCGCCCCACCACTCAGCGATGAAGGAGTCCGTCATGGCGGCCGCGCTGGAGCTTGCGAGGAGGTAACAACTTTTCGCTAAAAACTGATGAGTCCTCACGCAGATCATCGTATTTTTAAGCTATAAGTCAACTTTCAATGTAGTATAAAATACCCTCTGCATGTGAATGTTAGGATTAGTTATTATCGCTCGTAATATTCATCAGATATAATGTGTATTATTATTAAAAACCAAATCCTAGTCAACGAGGTGATCTTGACAGAACGAACAAGTTAGGATCCAATCCTTCCTCGATGTTTACGAGACACTGGTGAGACGAGATGGGAGGAATTCTACTTTTAATAAGTAACCAAAATGCATAGAAACTTTTTGAAGACTACTAACGACGGATAGATTGATCATGAGTAATAAATGATGAAACAGACATGAATCGCCATCGACAATGATATATATACTTGTTTAGTAGACCAACAAAATTTCTCTAGGTTCGACGGCTTTGCTTGACTACTCAATATTTGTGCAAACAAATTGTTCGGCGGAAATGAATAACATCCAGAATATCCACGGCTACCATCTGCGATAGGTACAGCAGCCAGCTGGAGATGGTGACGCCAGGCAGATGGTCGTCCGAGAAGCTGCTGCAGCTGGTGACAGCGATGAGGCACCTGACGGGAGCACAACAGCGCACGGTCGACTGGCTCACCATCGTCCTCTACATCCTGGCCGACGCCAACGCAGACAAGTGAGACTAATTAATATTCTTTTTCATCTCAATGAAAAGTTGGGCAATACACTTGCATATTCCTGAGTCATAAAAGAGAACAATTTTGATATACCGACAACCAGGGCTACTCGGGATGGGCGGGGTAACTCGGGACAGTCCTCCGGCACGGCGTAAAACTGTTTCAGTAGCAAAACTAATTGGAATATTGCAAAAATAAATATAGTGGCGTAAACGTCAACATTTTTCCTATCTATGTAGTGTAAAGGAAGTTCAAAACTACTACATTTACTAGCTTTGACAAATTTCTGAAAAAATGAATTAAACTCATGATTCATGGAGTACGTGGAATTGGTGGAAATCATTTCAAGCCAGAAATTGATTCGACCAATGAAGAAACCGTAGATAGCTAAGCAAACCTAATCTATCGTTAATCTTTTACAGATACGAAACATAATAGCGGTTTCAGCGTTATTAGGCCGTAGGCCTGTCGCCGATTCTTAACATCGCACAACATTCACAGTATTTTGTGGTCTCGAACTCGCAACTCACTGCTACAATTCTGCTATGCTTTTAACCGCCTGGCCTCCTTGCCAATTCTGACCAGAACCTGGCACACATAGCTGGGATCAAACTCACGCCTCTCTGCACCAATCTTGGTACTCTGATTCTGAAGTCTGAACTTTAACCATTGGGCCACCCTGGGGTTAAAGTTTAAAGGAACGTACCTGGGCCACCCACATATGATATGTTGGACGTTCTGCACGTTCAACTACGGGCTTGGATTGGGGACCGGGGATAATGCCTCAGGGGCTCAGGCCCCCAGCTGTGCTGGGCCGCTGGCAGCTGATTTCATGGAAATTTGGTACCGGTAAGCGGCACTGCTGCGGCAGAACGCAGAAGTGGTGCAATGTTTACAGAAATATCATGCAAGGAATAAAACCAAGGTCAACNTAGCTTGTGACGCCGAGGGTAGCTTGTGACGCCGAGGGTAGCTTGTGACACCGAGGGTAGCTTGCGACGCCGAGGGTAGCTTGTGACGCCGAGGGCAGCTTGTGACGCCGAGGGTTGCTTGTGACGCCGAGGGTAGCTCATGACGATGGTGGTTCACGCAGGGCCAGGGCGTTCCTGACGAGGCTGCCCACGACGCCCGCAGGCCCCGCGTTGTGGCCTCTCCTGGGCTCCTCTGGCCTCGTCGTGAGGCTCGCCAAGTTGCTCCTCTCGCAGCACCAGCCCGCCACCTTCACCGCTCTACAAGTTTGTTTATATTTAGCCTTACAAAACGAAGTCATTTCATTTATATTTTGTTCGTGAGGTGAGTTTCTTACAAGCAAGTTGGGACCGTAACCTTGTCTGCTCCCAATCATGACTCGTACATCAAAATCTAATAGTTCGACTATGCTAAACGCTTCATTCTAATAAGCAGTGGCTTCCTGCAATATAATTTGACGAGGTTTCTTCAAATGTAAATTAAATGTATTGGGCAGTAATAGCGGAAAACGTTCGGGTGACAGGTGTACAGCAGCGGGTGCATCTGGAACATAACGAAGTCGTGGTTAGACGCGTGCTGGGTGGGCGTGATGTCGTGGGGTGAGGTGTGCAACTGGGTGGTGGCAGTGGTGCTGCTGGGTGCCGACTACGCCGTCTACATCACCATGGCGGTACTCAAACACAGGCTACGACAGCTCTACCGACACCTCAACCAACTGCACACTCCCACTGACAGGCTCTTATTCCTCCAGGTATTCTTGCATGAACTTAAAATTTTTGCTTAATTCAATCGAAGCCTTTTTGCAACTACATGCATCAAGACCACAAGTAAATTCGACCGCAATTGCGTCACTGAGACGAAAAACGGCAGTGAATTGGTCAAGATGGAATCAATTTTGTATACTGAGCCTGGTCCAATGATATGTACGATAAATAAAATGCATTATAATGTTAACTGAACAAAGGTTCCGCAAACTGACAGCAGTCTTCATTGCCATTGTTGATTTTTATCAATAATATGACGACAGATTTCTAACTTTACGTTCCGCCTCAATTTACTTGTACCATTCCATAGCTCACCGAAACTTTCAAATATCATTCAATTCCACCCGCCGAAAATGAGGAATATGTAAAAAGGATTTGCCACATGAGAATCCCTAGAGAATGAGGTTCATTTGCAGACCGAGGCGCTGGACAACTGGCACCTGAGGGAGCACCTGGCCNTATGCTATGAGGAACAATCGCAGTAAACTTAACAGCAACAATCGCTGCAATCTTAAGAGCAACAATCGCAGCAAACTTAACAGCAACAATCGCTGCAATCTTAAGAGCAACAATCGCAGCAAACTTAACAGCAACAATCGCTGCAAACTTAAGAGCAACAATCGCAGCAAGCTTGACAGCTAGCCAGGAGCTTCAGTGGGCTGGTGCTGAGCGACCAGCTGCTGCAGGAGATCGCTGTGGTGAGAGCGCGAGTGGGCGCAGTAACTCTTCAGGTCGATGCTCTTCTCCCCACAGAGCTGGAAGACGAAACTTAGGTTTACTAACAACTACTAACAATAACCACTAACTACCACTACTAAATACTAACCCTAGGTTACTAACAACCCGCATGAATTACCATGGTAAATATACTTCCGATATCTGGCATTATTGCAGTAACAACGCTGATTTCAGAGCGCGATAATTCACAATTTCCTTTAATTAAAGTTAAATTCAACCACCAGCAAGAACAACACAGGAAAGACAACTGTTAGCATGATGATAAGACGCACATAATTTGCATCAAACATTAAATGAATTTGACACACGTATCTAAGTTTTTGAGATGAAGCAATGCAAGTGTCTGTAATGAGCACCACATCAGCAGTAGGCTGATGAACCAAGCTCTCCCAAACTTCAAAAGGAACAACAACAACAACAACATGAACTATCATGCACATTTTGCAGGTTCCCACCTTGCACTCAAAGCAAAGCTCCAGCTGACTTTGAAGTTTGTGCCTCGAGCTGAAGTGTTTGGTGAAGTGCAGAGGCGCTGACGTGTGGAAGGGACACAGTGGACACTGCAGCAGCGACAGCGGCAGGTGGCGCAGCAGGTGACGACGATGTGAAGTTTGGTCGCAGAAGCTCGCGTTGCACACGCAGCACTCGAACAACTTCTCTTTGTTGTGACGCCTGAGAGGAAAGCAAGAAGTATTCTACATAAAGCAGAAGAAGAAAATAAATTCAAATTTAAAATAAACTATAACGAAGAACAAATGTCTCTCTCGGTCACAACGTTAGAAGAACAAAGTGAAAACCAACAAAACTACCGACATTAGTTGGTAGTTTGGTATATCAGTGGTAGTTAGTGGTTTGGTACAAAACTACAGACATCAGTTGGTAGTTTGGTAGCATCAGTGTTTATAACTACCACCGACATCAATGGTAGTTATAAATATTAACTCAAGAGAAAATACAATAAAATCAACCTAGAACACCTCATGGAAGATGAACCTTGACATTCACAAAGGCAAGCGCGGTGTAAACATCAAAAATATCAGTTATGTTTCAGTTCTTCTTATATAATGATTAATCAGTTAATAAACAAGAGGCACTTATTCGTCATTAGAAGATCATATCAGAGCAATCTTTGAAGTCGGCACAGAATCGAATAGCTTGTAAATAAATGTCATGCCAGAAGCCCTCTGAAAAACTAATATCGCCATACGTGGTCGCTGTGGCAACTTTCATTGATTACATCAACAACTATGCGCCTCAAAATCTATCAGCAATGTCACCTTAGCTTTGACTACAAAGGCTAGCTTCAAATACGGTCGAGATTATCAGGCAGACCTCACACGCAGCACGTGAATTGCCGGTCGGAAAATAGAACTGAAAGTTTTAAAAATAATCTATCATAGAGCCAACAGGATTCACAATTTTACAGAAAATTTAAACTAATACACTTATTGTAGGCATGAGGGAGTGAGACAAATGGTCATTGCCGTGAGCAGCATTACCGCATGTGGTTCCTGAGCTCCGTGCTGCGGTTGCTGGCGTAGGAGCAAACATGGCACCGGTGCACCTTGCTGCTGTTGTGAACCTGCGTNTGTACCGTCCACAGGTGTCGCTGTAGAGCATACCACTGAAATATCAACACAAAGTAGATCAGTACTCACTGCAGTGAGTGACAGAGAGTACATTGTTTTGTCCGTCCGTGACGTGAAGTCACGGACGGATGGACGGACATGACGAGCACAATAGCGCCTTCTTAGCGCATTTTCTCATTTATGGATGATGCACTATTGTGCTCGCCATGTCTGTCCGTCTGTCTGTCCGTCCGTCAGTCCGTCCGTGATCTCAAGTTTTCGTCCATGAGAAAATGCGCTCTCTGTCACTCACTGCAGTGGGTACTGAGTTATATTTTTTCCATAAGTGAGAAAAAGCGCTAAAAATTACTATTTTGCAGACCACTCGATGAAAAATGAGGTGACAGATAAATAAACACTCTGGGAACTTCATGCGATTTTTGCATCGAACATTAAATTTACATTGATTACTTACATGCATGAAGTAAGTAGAATTCAAATAGGAAATTACATACCATTTAGCAACCCAAATATATTATGCAACGCGCTACCTGCCTACTTCACATATAAAGTAAGTAGCATATAATTAAATGACATGGTGGTAGTAAGCCTTGAGATCTCAAGCAGCACGGTACCTTCTTCACATATACAATAAGTAGCATATAATTAGGTGACATGGTAGTAGTAGCCTTGAGATCCCACACAGCACGGTCCCTTCTCCACATAAATAAATAGGATATAATGAAATGGCATGGTGGTAGTTAGCCTTGAGATCCCACATTATGGATGATGCACTATTGTGCTCGCCATGTCTGTCCGTCTGTCTGTCCGTCCGTCAGTCCGTCCGTGATCTCAAGTTTTCGTCCATGAGAAAATACGCTCTCTGTCACTCACTGCAGTGGGTACTGAGTTATATTTTTTCCATAAGTGAGAAAAAGCGCTAAAAATGACTATTTTGCAGACCACTCTATAAAAAATGAGATGACAAATAATTAAGCACTCTGGGAACTTCATGCTATTTTTGCATAGAACATTAAATTTATTGATTACTTACATGCATGAAGTAAGTAAAATTCTAATAGGAAATGCTTTGGTTTGCTAAATATATCCTATTCTAATAGGATATATTTAGCAAACCAAATATATCGTAAAATGCGCTACCTACCTACTTCACATATACAGTAAGTAGGATATAATTAGATGACATGGTAGTAGCCTTGAGATCCCACACAGCACGCTACCTTCTTCATGGTGAAGGAGCAGTAGGGACAAATGAAGGCATCACTTGCAGCAAGAGCAGCGCCAGGCCGGTGGCAGCTTTCATGTATCTGTTGGAAGGTAGCGTGTTGAGATAAAATGTATATTCTGTTATTCACAAGTGATTAAGTCAAATAATACCTTAAGAACAAGGTAGCTGAAAAGGAATATTCATTGATATTTTAACTCTGCAGACTCAGTCAAAAACATAAAACAAATGAGCACGAGGCTTCCAAATGAGTGGGTAGAGAAGGGGAGGCAAAAATGAAAATCTTAGGAGCAAACAGTTGACATGGAAGGAAGGAGCCGCCATGAGCAGGCAACGAACTTATGGATCTTTGGCTTCTTAGGGACGAGAGGAGGAGGCGCCGGGTTCCCTGTGAGCTTGAGATGGCGACGTGGGGGCTGTTCAAGAAGCTCAGCATCGTTGCTCTGACAAAACGATCAGAATATCATGCCTCTGCCATCACAATATATAACAAAATATTTAAAAAACTTATCAAAATAAAATAAACAGGAAACAAAGACAAAAAGGACTACCCGAAAAGTAAAATTCAGATGAAATTCAATTTTAGCAAAGTAACCATATGCGATATGTAGGAACAACTTTCCTATCATCACTGCAACAATCAAGTTTTCTAAAATACTTATCAGAGCAAAATTAACAGGAAACAAAAACAAAATGACTGATCAAGAAACATCAAATTCAGCTGACAATTAATTTGAGCAAAATAAACAAATGCATGATGTAGAAAAAACTATCGCAACTTATATACAACTACAACTAACTGAAGCAATATCTAATTATTGCGCACGTATTATCAGTGACCTGAGTTTAATACCTTCAATTATCTACTAGTGAGAAGATAAAATTTTTACATTGTAGGTTAAATGACAAGGATATATTGAAGTATTTGATGACAAGGATATGTTAAAGTATTTAATGACAAAGATATGTTAAAGTAGGTATTTGATGACAATGTACCTGCGAGACGTCCTCCATGTCAGTGCCGCCTAGCACGTCCAGGACGTAGACTTGAGTGGCACAATCATTGCCAGCATCTTTCTTCCCTTCACTGTGACCAGACACATCATCGTCATCCTCACTGAACACAGAACTGCCATCAGTCGAGTTGTCCTCAACTTGCCCAGAGGAAGAAGTAGAGTTGACAAAGAGAACATCTGCTGATGTTGAGCTGTTCGCAAGTGTAGATGTATTGACCAAGTCACGTGCAACGTATTTGTTATTGAGATAGGACTCGTCAAGAAAAGATATTGCTGTATCAGGGCAAGAAGAATCCTGAAAGCCCTCAGTTGGGTGGTGGTGGTTTATTGGATCTGGAGATGGACTACGCTCATCCAGTGCACTGCAATCCGCGGCAGTAGTAATGAAGTTGTCGCCAGCACGTTCACTGCCAGGAGTGTCAACACTATCAAGTAAGTTCATAGAGCTAGGGAAACTTGATGAAGAAGCTGTTTCATAAAAAGGGTTATTCGCAGGTGAGAGATTTGCTTCACTGATGTTATTCTCCTTACAAGCAGGTATGTTCACCTTGGATGCAAACTGAAAAAAAAAATAATCATATATGTAAGAAGCAATGGAACATGAAAATTATATACTGCCTGGACAATCACAGTTCTCTACAAAATCAATTCTATCAATTCTTAAAGAATAACAAATTGCATATTAGAACATCTAGAGAATTCATGAAAAAATGGACATACTGTAACACTACATATCTCTGTCATGATGTTTCATGAACTCACCCCCTCAAGTGTAGAAGCAGGGATAGTGGACCCACACTTGTGGCACACAACCGTTCGTTCTGCAACAAAATCAAACAGCATTCTTGCAATATGTTTATTATTATAGGCATTATATCTCAAAAAATATATGTACTGCACTGCTATAACCTGCATATGAGCTACACAAATCCCCATTTATGGTCTATTATAAATTATTGGAATACAAGGCATCATGGATATCAATGCAGGCTTTTTTGCAAACTATTTCACCAGAGAGAGATCAGGACCAAGCATATCTGATAATTAGGGCAGCCACAGTGTATCCGAGTATAGTATATTCATATTTCACAGGAAAATAAAATGTTCTGCAGAGGGAAACTTGTAGTTAGCATAGCCACTGAATGCCTTGCAGAATACACTGTAGGAGCAGTTAGTTGCTTTGATTTTCCATACAAAGAATACTCTAATATCCACTTGTTCATAAGCATTTATAGAGAAACAAAAATTTTGCATCTAATAATGATGGCGGTCCAGATTTTTTCATCTAGCAATTTTCATGAACAAACTTTCTTCACTGAATTTCCTTTAACCTCCTTGGACTTATAGTACAAGTTGACTCGCAAAACAATACCTAGAACAACAAGAGACACTAAGTTTGACAATGGAAAACCTCACAACAAGCTTACCTACCTACCTATATTATTTTGTTTTTTATAAATGTTAGAAATTGCTCATCCAGAAAACTTCTTACAATATATTCTTGGCTTCATCACTTCTCAATTTTCTCAATTGATCAATTTAATAGTTTTTTGTTATTCTGTTTTTATCTCTGGATTTATATTGTGAAAGTTATTAAGTTAATAATATAAGGAGTGATTTTTAATGCTTGCCAATGACACAGAAGCTACTTCACTTGCAAGCTACTTACGGTTGCATTGATGCAAGGTTTTCTTATCGGCAGTGCTGACCCTGATGCACACAGGAGGCCCCTGACAATAGAAAGCTTTCATAATAGTTTCATTAATTGATTTTTCTTCACAATTTCTTAGTTATCACTCACAATTCTGTGTAGAAATAATGAAGAGTAATAGCTTTGAGCAAATGATGCTAATTTTTTTCTGATAGAAAAAATTTAGTAGATTTCCAGCACAGTGCACAACACTGAAAAGCAGAAAATAAGCTAATGAAGTTAGACAAAATTAAATAAATAGAATAGGAGTCTATGATTTATTGTAATAAATAGAATTCAAAATGGTTCATCTTTTGATTGTTAGGGTAGATACCTAGTCACCTAAGTTTCAATACAAGCAAACTCTACAACAGCAATACAACTCCCTTACCTCAGAGTCAGCAAGATGAGTTGTCTGGTAATGATGAAGCAGTGAAGTCATGTCATGGAAGACAGCATTACACGAACAACATTTCAGCATGCTTACTACTTCATAAAGGCAGAGATTAGGTTGCAGCATTGGCTTGGTAATGGCTTCTCTTTTTGAGCTCATACTGGAGATGACTGTGGCAACTGGAATTTCACCAGGTGTTGCTTGAGTGTTGTCAGTTAGTGGTCCTTGCCCAAGAAATTTATTCTTGTATGTAAAGGCCTTCCCAGTTGATATGATCGGCTTACACTTCATTGAAGAGAGCCCAGGCTCATAAGTAACAAAATTATCCATGCCAATAGCAAAGCTAAATTCAGTTACTTTAGGATCATATTTCATGTCAGTGATGTCACTTTCTTTTTCATCTCAATGAAAAGTTGGGCAATACACTTGCATATTCCTGAGTCATATGTAAAAAGGATTTGCCACATGAGAATCCCTAGAGAACAAGGTTCACTTGCAGACCGAGGCGCTGGACAACTGGCACCTGAAGGAGCACCTGGCCGAGCTGGACGATATGAGCAGGGCGTTGAGGACGACGCTGCTGGACGCCGCCACGGAGGAGCTACGAGCCCCGCGCCTCCCTCCGCACGCTGGGCTCGCGGCTCGCAGCAAGCAAGATGCACATGGAGTTTAGGTGTGACTGTGTCGACTATGAATAAAGCAAATCAAAGAATAATTAAGTAAACCAAAGAGTTATTGAAGCAAACTAATAAGAATATAGTGAGCAAACCAAAGTCTTTTTATATAGTCACCTGAAGCTTTCTTCTTATTCTTTCCAGGATCAAAATTTTTTGCCATATGAGCAATGAAGTTTCGAAGATTAAATACCAAATTTTCGGTATACAGTCTCGGCAAACTAGCGCGATTGCATTCTACGTTGCCAGCTTCCTCTTGAATTCAAGTTTAATGAAAACGATGTAAAATTTTTCTGCAGTTTTTTCACAATACAAAAATTTTTTGCTTCGCCTGCGAACTACTGAGAACACTCGGTGTGGTGACATGTTAGTATTGCTCAAACAATAGGACGCCAGGCAGAACAATGGACGACGAAAAAGATGAGTAGCTTTCTCTCATATTTTCATTTAAAAGTGTACCGAAGTGGTATATAAAAATAGGTTGTAAAGTGCGTTTTCACACATGACATAAATGCAATTTCATAGTAGAACACGTACGTATTTATGTCGTTAATTATGACGGTTCATTGTACGGGTTCACGATGCAGCTCCGTTCCCAAGGAACAGGTGGAAAATGAGGCATTTTTAGTAACATGAATTAGAACAAGACACTATGTTACTAAAAAGGACACTATGGCTAAACAATTAAATTACAAGATGTGAATGCCCACAAACCAAATAGTCTTCGTAGAAAAATATTCATTCTTAGGGAATCATTGACGTGTCTGTCAACCGGTGTGTCGTGATAGAAGAGATTGTGCCAGTAATTTAAAACAGGATCGAACTGAAGTAGCGCTCAAGATTTAAACAGACGCAGAAAGATAACGGTATTGGAACTAATATTCGTAATACCCAACAAGACTAGATAAAATTGAGTTAAACCGACAAGACTATTAAAACAACAAGATTAAATCTCTCCTAATAACGCGAAAGAAATCAGATCATATCACAGTCAGTCACACGGAAGCAACTGACCAATGTCACCATTATCATCAATAGTTACGAGTTCATACCACCGTCAAGCCATCAATTACGGCTTTTCAAGTTAAGCCAACTTATCACGGGCGAGAAATCAGCCGCTACACGTACTTAAGATGTGTGTTTTAATGGTCGTCTTATGATCATCTCGTAATATTTTACGACACACATCCTTAGTTACTTTAGGATCATATTTCATGTCAGTGATGTCACTTTCTTTTTCATCTCAATGAAAAGTTGGGCAATACACTTGCATATTCCTGAGTCATACAAGAGAACAATTTTGATATAGGTATGCAAATGAATTTGATTTTCATCATGACATTCTGGATGTTTTTAAATTTAGATCATCATATCTTTTGGCCTATTCAAATGTTTAAATAACCTCAATAGTTTGCATTTTGATGCTATGGTATTAAATTTTCAAAACAAATTTGGAGTAATCAGGCATGGAATATATCTACCTTTCAAGTTTTTTCCCAAGCTTGAACAGAGCATTTCTGGAATTTTTGGAGCAGTGAGATTCCTGTTATATTAATTACCTCCCATTCAATTGTTAACTAAATAGCACAATTGTGCCACATGATTCCCAATGCATTTAAAACTTATCACATTGGATCTGCAATATTTAATTCATAAGGAAAATTCCAATATTGGGAGCAATATATACAGTCATAGGCTCTCATAACAACCCATGGCAATAGTGGGTAGAGAGAAAACCCACCCATTTAAAAATTATCTACACATTATATACGAGGCCTCCAACTTCATCTATAGTCATCCCAGTTCTATTTTAATACAATTAAATCAAACTGATCACCAGATATTTCCCTCATGTCAAAGTCAATTTTGCATTTTTTGCACTTTTGTATAAATTTTTAGAGACTATTTTGGTCATTTTTGTCACATAATTGCAGGATAAATATTCTTCACAGAGATTTTTTATAACAAATTTATGATAGCCCAACTTAAACTGTGACTGACATCAATTTCAACTTTGCTGTTCATTTGATTTGCATACCGGTACTGTATTTCCTCAAAGTGAACTATAAAAAGAACCCACTTGAGTCTTAGGAAAAATGCAATTCTTTATATAATTACATTTGGACACAACACGTTTTTTTGAGACTATAACTTCATCTTTTATATTATTTTTGGCATCAAACAACTCAAAAGCCCATAAAACCAGCTTTAAAAATATTAGTCATTGCTAAAAGCCTACAGTCAAGTGGGCCAAATGAGGATAACAATGTCAATAGACTTTTTTCTTTTGTCATGTAACCAGTTGATATTTGAGCTCCTACGGTAGACTAAAATCTTATTGAACTTGACAAAATAAGGCTGGTAATGAAGAAAGAAGCATACACCCTCGCGGTAAATATAATTTTCAGAGGCTAATTTCACTCAAAAAAATTTTACATGTCATTTTTCTTTCTAACATGCTCAATTTTTTTAAGAACATGTGGGTTTTTTCTATTTTGAATAATTTATCTTCATAATTAAAACTACTAACATTACAAGCCTGGCAATTTTTGAGTATATATGCTAGGAAGTACTGAGGAAGTTAGGAACAAATTTCACAGTACTATGTGCAATTCTTCAGATATGGGGGAAAAACTGGAAATGTTTTTTTTTCAAGAGTCTTAGACTATAGATGCATTGAAATGATCCATAGATGCCAGGATCAAATCGTTATTTGTAAAAAAAAAAGTGCTGTAAAAGTGCTTCAGATTTTGCAGGAGATGCAAGGCATTTGCATGCATCTGATGCAACACAGGAATACAATATTTCTGAGACAAAGTGTGCGACTATTGGGAAGTTTAGAAGAAGTTTATCAACAATGGAAATGGGTTCAATTTAAAATATCTGGCAAAATTTTTCAAAAATTGCTGGTAAAAACAAATAACTGGTTTTACAAGCAATTTTTGAAAATCCTATCATGCCCAAAACAGGGCTGTTTTTCTCATTTTTAAGAAAGAACTTGGGCAAAGGTAGAAAACAGGTGAAATTGACCAGAAGCATGTACATTTTAGTCTCATTCACAAGAAGCTTCTACCAGAATAGGATTGGGTGCTAGAGGAAGTGATATTAAATAATTAGCTGAGATTCAGGATCATTTTAGTTAAAAATTTAGTATGGTATCATTAAGGATAGTAACATACCTAAGCATTAAGGAGATCATTTAGATCCTGGAAAAATTTCTACATTTATCAACTGATCTTTCTGAAATTTCACACACATAAAAGGTACAATAAAAAAAATTTAATCCTATGAATTTTCTGAAATAAATTGTAGAAAATGTGAAATTATTAGAAAATGGCAGAAAAGGAAGTACTTTTTAAAAAATTCATAACTTTTGTAAATCACATGCTACAATATCAAGACACATTTCACTTGATTGGTAAAAAAATAATCAAGTGGCTCTAGAGCCTTGATTTTTCATTTTCCTCATTGTTTTTCTTTTATGTGCATTTTTTCATTTCTCATCATATATAAGTCCAACCAAGCGCAAATACAAACAGATATAGGTAACTCAGTACTCACTGCAGTGAATGACAGAGCACGCATTTTCTTGTCAACAAAATCATGAAGTCACAGATGGACAAATAGACAGACAGACAGACATGGCAAGCACAATAGTGCATTTTTTTCATAAATGATAAAATGCGCTAAAAAGTCTAAATTTTCAAATTTTGACCAAAACAGTCCCCTTAAGGTATGACCTTTTGGCTTCAGATATTGGCATCTTTTCAAACTCTCCATCAGCCATCTCAACATTAAATTGCAAAATAGTGTCCATCATCAATCAAGAACTATGGATTAATCAATCAACACCGCCACATGCCGTCACCATGTGTATCTGCCTACTGGATCAACTGCTTGCACAGGGAGTCCACAAGTAACAAATAAGTTGTGTTCCAGAAGGACCTTTTTTAAGTGCATTTGTGTGTCCAAAAAGGCGCATAGAGTATTTTCAGTCTGCACCCTGGAAAAGTTGTGTCTCAGTTTTCTTAATAAAAATAAATTACATATTTTTCAATAGGATAAGCAGTGACATAATTAACCTAGCGATTGCTGGAACTTGACTGGCTTCTGCGTCCAAAAGAAGCATCCAAGGTATTCCAATCCACAGTATCTTGCCTGGTTCTAAATTAATCTCTCTTAGCTTGAGATATTTCCATCTTTTCAAGCTCTCCAGCTGCCATCTTGCCTCCATATTGGTATCCACAATCAATCACAAACTATGAATGAAGCAATAGATAAAACTGCTGTTGTGTGCATCTCCTGCTTGTTCTGATTGCTTGTATGTTGCTTGCCTCAATCCTAATGTGCTTTTGTCTATGCCAATTATTGCACATCAGCTGTAACAATTAAAATTCCTGTATGCTCATGCCACTCATTGTGCATTGGCCGTAACAATCACAATGGCCGTATATCTATGCCAAAAATCATGCATCAGCCATACCAATCATGATGCATGTACCTCTGTGCCAAGCATTGTGCATCGACCATAACATTGCAATCATGGTGCCATTCTATAGTAAATATAACAGAATAGAGCTTTTGGGAAATTAGAGTGCTCTGTCATAATCTAGAGTGCCATGTCACTACACCTTCCCCACAAAGCCAGCACTCCAAGAAGTCCAAAAATTTGTTACTGTTTGGAGTCTGACAGCAAGCTCCCAACACCCATGTTGTGATATTTGCTTGTGATATAGATTGATTGTGGCATCATGTATA